CTCTCTCTCTCTCTCTCTCTCTCTCTCTCTCTCTCTCTCTCTCTCTCTCTCTCTCTCTCTCTCTCTCTGTGTGTGACACCTTGTCAATGTGCAAAATGACTCGCCAAGTCAATATCACTCCGGCACAGAAACAAATAACACCCAGCAACACGGTCACTGTCCTCACAAGCAAAGTGCTGTTGCTTTCCTCGCAGCAAGATCGACAGGTAAGACCAGGTTAGCTGCTCTCTCGGTCTCCTCTCTCACCAGAGGAAATGGTCTCTCCCTCAAACCTCACCCTCACTCATACTAAGCTATGGTCCCAGCACACGTTCTACTCTAGCTATGGTGACTCTCACTCTTACTCTTTGCATCTCTCCTGTCTGCCTTTCTCCAGTGCTAGTGCTCAAGCAGTGCCCCAGCCTCCAGCAGCGCAATGCCGAATGAAGGACAGAGCTGAGGCAGGCCGACCTTCTGTAACTTCGACTACGCTTGGCATACCTTCAGTTGCCTCCTCGAACCGCTGAGGTTCTCTGATCTTGTGTGGCCCAGATTTTATCACGGCCAGTGTATGCCTTGACCCGGCGGCCCGGGACTTAGATGCTTCAGGAAACGGATTCTGAGCCTTTGCGATGTGCGAGATCTGTGACTGTGGTTGACTTCTGAAGATTTCTTTGACCCTTGGACCGCAGTACCCAGTAGGGCCTTACTGTTGACTTTCCTAGGGCCTTAACAGTCTTAACTATAACCTCTGGAAGCTCCGGGTGCCTCATTTTGACTTTTGATCAGAGGTCGTTTCTGGGGCCTCTCTAGCGGCTCTAGGACCAACTTTTGACACCAGGACTTCGGCTCGGTCAAAACCTACGACCCTAAGACGAATGTGCTGGTTTTATCCTTGGTTAGGCTCGGTTCCTTGCACAGACAAAAAATCCAATCTTAGTCCCATCGCGATAGACAGTTTCGTCCGACTTTCACCGACTCACCAGGAGGGCTGAATCCTCAACAATCAGCAGAATCCCCTCACGATGCATTGATCCGTAGGCAACCTGTAAGTGACCTTGCTCAGTTCGTTTTTGAGACACTAGGTCGTGATGGATTTGTATGTCGCAGACTGCGCCACTTTGTAATCCGTCTAAACCCCTTGATGCGAAAGGACACTCGAGCGGTCAATGAGCAAGGAAAGCAGAACAAGGCACAGAGGCAGGCAAACGGCACAACAAGCAGAGCAGCAGCGAGGCAGGTAAAAAGACACAGCAACCCCAGAAGCAAGTGGGTACACCCATGAACTGTTGAATTACAGACCCGAGTTCGAGTCCAGATGATGGAACTCGATGGACTCGATGGGTAACACGAAATATTTCTGAATTGCCTGGGGCCGGTGAGCTCAATGATGATATCTCAAGGCCGTCACCCTTTCTAAAGAAGGGGAAAAGAAGACGAAGAAGAAGAAGAAGAAGAAGAAGAAGAAGAAGAAGAAGAAGGCACAGCAAATGGCGGAAGGGCAGTTTGACAGCGAGGCAAACAGCAAGGCAACAACACAAGCAGCAGCAACACAGCCAGGCATGGGAGCATGCAACGCAATGAGCAGCGAAAACGACAAAGCCAGCAACAGGATAATATGACGAACAGCAGTAAGGCAGATTGGATGTGTGAGCGCCAACATAATGAGCAGCAAGGCAAGCGGCAACACGGGCACAGAAAAACACAGAAGCAGAAAGGATCGGCGTGGACGCACTGGACGGTCACCTACTTACATCATATGGAAAAGTCTGCAGACTGTAGGTTCACGCCACAGTGACGAGCAAGGGAGCCACAAGATGAATTTCTGTCACAAGTAGGGAACACAGGGATACATGCATCCCGAACAGAGCAGCCTGCCCAATCGTGTTGCAGGCAATCCAGACAAACAGGCACGGACTATTTGGCACATCTTAAGGGTGCTGCACGTCAACACAAACATGGGAAAGGCCAGAGCGCATACAACGTGGACGGCCACTTAGAACAAGAGGGAGAGGAGGTAGGTAATTATCACCGCATCATGACAGAAATTTGGTCCAAGTACTGCGGTAATGACCGTGCGTTCTATTCGAGGGAAGAAGGTAATGGAGGTGAGACCTGGATGGTGCTGTGTGAGTCGAGGCCATGGTGATTGACAAGCTGGTAGAGGAGACAAGCTTGGATATGGAAACCCACAGGACCTAGTGGAGGTGATTTTGAACTGTGTTTCCATTTGCCCCATTTAAGGCCGTGACCCTTGAAGAAGAAAATTCTTGATTGTTGATTGTACTTTTGGTTAAAGTGGTGTTGAGGTGGAGGAAGCAAGGAGGTGAAACGGATTCCACCTTTCGCAGTAGCCGATGCAGATCCCAGGGCTCGATCCCTAGTCCTCACTTCACCTGTGTACAGTACCTGAGTCGACCCTCAGAGTTGAACCCGTGACTTGTGTATTCGCAGTAGTTGGTAGGCTGTCGTAGGTCCGTAGGTTGCAGGGGTTCGATCTGTAGACCGATTGGCTAGAGGTCTTAGGGAGGCCTAGAGGTCGTAGCTGCTACAGTGTTCGAAAGGCCAAGTCTCCAGCCTTCCGGAAGGTCCCAGTAGTGGCCTTTCGAAGTTTGCTCCCGTTTAGACAGGCAAGTGGGCAAGTGGTGAGCCCAACTGCGGTACGTCGGCGGTGCAACTGCATCGAGTTAGCGGTGCAAACCCATGCAGTCAGCGGTACCGGTCTCAGTCAGTCACAGTCCAGTCAAGCAAGTACCGTGTGGGACTGTGTGCACCAGGGGCACGGGAAAGGGGCAGACCAACGAGCTACAGAAGTATAAATCAAGAGGCAGCGCCCAGCCATTCATTCATTCGCTGCGTAAGCCATGCGGAAGTGCTGTTACAGCGTCTTGCGAAGGTGGTCTGCAGGTTGCCCGAAGATGAAGTCGGCTGAAGGCAGATTGTAGCCATAGTCAGTAATGGTAGTGCGGTCATAGCCGCTGTAGAAGGAAGGGAGATGAAGCGTGTGTGTGTGGTGGTATTCAGGGTGATCCAGAGTGAGCGTGTGTGAACAGTGGGGTTGGACACCGTGACGAAGGTTGGGATGTTCGGGCACTGATGCGCCATAGCCTGTTGAAGTGAACTTGCATCTGAACTGTGTTCTTGAATTCCATATCTCTAAGCTTTGAGTGGGCGCCCAGCGCCAGTGTGAATCTCCATCTGTTTGCATGTATGTGAAGTGGAAGTGAAAGCGAGTCTGATTTCCGGAGGAAGTAGGTAAGTTGCAAAAAGGGGTTTTGAACACATTGGAGTCCATCTACTTAGATGGCTTTGTGATGAGGTTGTTCTCCGGAGTTGGTGCAATGTATACCCTATCCTTCGGTGAAGGTTGATTGCCCATTGCACAGCAATCTGCTCCTGGCGACCACCTTGAGAATCTCTCTCTCTCTCTCTCTCTCTCTCTCTCTCTCTCTCTCTCTCTCTCTCTCTCTCTCTCTCTCTCTCTCTCTCT